AGTTTCCACCCTAACATAATATACCGTGTTGTGACTGAGGGATTTCTGATAAAATTCTAATGTATAGCTCTGCTATTGCTTCCAACAAAACTAAACAGCAGGGATGTTTGTAGGGTTACAAAAGGTGGGCTAGCTCTTATATATTGATGTGCTACGTGGTGGCTAGTTACACAGCTATGGTTAGCATAATATAAACACATTAGCAAAGAGAAACTGGAGGATGAATGCTAACCTGTAAATGGACCAAACTTCAGTCCGGAGAGAAACTGAGATAATCCATCCACAATATGAGGTTAGTATACTGCTGCATGGGCAGGGCTGTAGTTATATCGTAAGGTTTTATGAGCTAAGCTTTAAAATGAATATCGGTAATAAAAACAGAGTGGCCGACAGTGATCACTGACTGTTTTTAGGGGCTTGTCAGAATAAATAGAACAAGATACAAAGCATTAAAACATGTTAAAAACACAACAGCCTCAATAAACTCAGAGTAGTTTGAACCCGGAAGCAGAGTTCATCATGTTAAAGACCAGATAGGAGCTGTCAGTTCAGCATACACATGGCAAACGGTAAGTAAATTATGCTTATTTTAATGTAAGCAAATTTTTGCTCTTTACTCATACATGTTTAGGGTTAGGGTAGCCACACCTATGCCAGTATGTTGACTTAACAAAACCAACTTTAACCCCTGACTTTGACACACGGTTTTGCCCATTACACAAACAGGCCTGCCTTTCATGTGTTACTATTTAGGCTCAAATCAGTTTGATGTTTGGAGGCTTGCAGTGACGTGTAGTAATTACTTGCCTCAAATAGCTCAAACCAAAAGTAATGAGTCTCTTTTAAAAATATAATACGTTTAAAGTACAGATATTTGTTTAAAAATGTAGCAAGTAAAAGTAAAAAGTTGTCAGAAAAAGAAACTCCAGCCAACTGCATTTAAGACCACCACACACAACTAGTCTTGGCCAGTTTGGCTGCTAACCCACCTTAGATGGCGCAGCGGCCCGGAGCTCTTTTCTTCTTTTTTTGGGTTGTATGGAAGCCCCAAACGCAATTTCATTGTTCTTGACAATGACAATAAATAAATACTATACTATACTAGTGCTTGGCCATCTTGCTCCGCAGTGAATTCAAGTTCTTCCACAGACCTTCAACTTGGAAATACTTTTGCTTACCTGGAAGCTGGTCATTCCTGTGAATCATAGCCACCATTCATGCTCCGTTTTCCTTCACACTTCACATGCCCGCCCTCCTGCCTCCATCATTCCGGATCTCACTGGATCACCCAGGCTGGGGTCACTGCTCTCGCCATCAGGATAGTAAGCCTCGGAAATATCCCTCATTCTCTTTCTTTCCCATCACTTTGCCCAGTGCTGTTCTGACATCTCTCTCCTTCTGTTGCAGGGACTCAGATTCTCATTTCACAACCCATGACTCACCCCCAACTCTCATTCTGTCTCAAGCTTTATGTTCATCGCTCCCAAAGTTAATTCATTTGTTGTAAATAAAGCCTTGTTAGACAACCTAGTACTGTGCCTTTGCCTGTATCTGCACTTGGATCCACTTTCACATAACCAGTATTTGTACTTCGTTACTTCCCACCTCTGTTGGTGGTCAGACTCCAATGGCCCATCAGAACAGAATGGAATCCCAGCGGTGACAGGGATTAAGGGAGTACCCCACACAGTCTAGATGCTGGTGGTAAAGATGAAGAAGGAAGTTGAATGGAGCCTGAGTAACATGGGAGAGGTAGTGATGGGGTGGAGGTGGGTTGCACAAAGGTGTGAGAGATGCGCAGTGAGGTTTACAGTACGTGGAGTGAAGCTGATTGACCTGAAGAAGGCGGGCAGAAAGATGTTTGGACTCGACCAGTGATGTCACAATGAGCTTGGCAGCAGGGGAAAATAGAAGTGATGCAAGGCTTAGATTAGCCACCAAACACCCGGGAAGCAGACAGAAGTGTGACTGCAGAAGTTCCTTATCAAACTTATGCATAAGCTTCATTTCACTAGTGCTAGGACCAGAATTGGTCCTAGCACTGAACCCTGTGGAACTCCATAATTAACCTCAGTGTGTGAAGAGGACTCTCCATTTACATGCACAAACTGGAGTCTATTAGATAGATATGATACAAACCACTGCAGTGCAGTACCTGTAATACCTACAGCATGTTCTAATCGCTCTAATAGGATATTATGGTCGACAGTATCGAATGCTGCACTGAGGTCTAGCAGGACAAGCACAGAGATGAGTCCACTGTCAGAGGCCATAAGAAGATCATTTGTAACCTTCACTAAAGCTGTTTCTGTGCTGTGATGAGCTCTGAAACCTGACTGAAACTCTTCAAATAAACCTCTGCAGATGATCTGTTAGCTGTTTGACAACTACTCTTTCAAGGATGTTTGATATGAAAGGAAGGTTGGAGATTGGCCTATAATTAGCTAAGACTGCTGGGTCTAGAGATGGCTTTTTGAGTAAAGGTTTAACTACAGCTAGCTTGAAGGCCTGTGGTACATAGCCGATCATTAGAGATAGGTTGATCATATTTAAGATCGAAGAATTAATTAATGGCAGGACTTCTTTGAGCAGTTTTGTAGGAATGGGGTCTAAAAGACACGTTGATGGCTTGGAGGAAGTAATTATTGAAGTTAACTCAGAAAGATCAATTGGAGAAAAAGAGTCTAACTTAACATCAATAAGAGTAGCTGTAGATAATATTACATCTGTGGGATGAAAGTTTTATTTGTAAAGAAATTAATGAAGTCATTACTAGTTAATGTTGAAGGAATGCTTGGCTCAACAGAGCTCTGACTTTTTATGGAGCCTTGCAGACTCGCTACTGCTCTGTGATTGTGAAATAATAGACTGGGTTAATTTAGACACATCAGCAGGATGCAATGAGGCATCTCTGCAGCCAAAAACTGGATCAGTAATGAAGATAGATAGTTTGTTTCCGTGGTTCGCCTTAAGACAACCTACTATCCACCTCTAAGGGTTGACATGAAACATATGGAAACAAAAGTAACAGAACGAGAAAATAAACTGACTGCAAGCATTGAAAATCCTCCATATTCTCCATCTGTCCATCCCAGGAATAGTCCCAACTACCAAGACTGTATGTGGTAACATCCAGCATGGAAGCTATTCGTAATGAATGAAAAAACTATTGCTGTGCCTGGTTTCCTATGCACGAGGCCATTTGTGATGTTTGCTGGAGTATGAACAAAATCACATGTCAGATCTCTGATTAATCCATGTTGGTACTGCACATATACAGATTTTGTGAAGCAGGCTCACTGTCTCCAATATGGAAAAGTGCACCTCCGGGTGCTGCTACTTCCTCCCACATTCCAAAACCACAAAGTCAATATTTTCATGTTAACTCGTTTTAGGATGTGAACTCTGTGACAGTCTGGACATGTCCCCAGACTGTTTGGCATTATGTTCTTTTCGTTAAATGCTAGCTATGCCAGATATAACCTCCCAATCATCTGCCAAAAAGTGGTTTCTGATGTTTTTACGTCCAATATCTTTACTTATATTAGTAAATTGACTGTAGGGAACAGGATTCATGAAGGGGGTATATATAAAATACATAAACGACCTGTTTTTGAAGTATCTTTATCACTCTGCCTATTTGTACCCATATTGTCATCAATCCAGTTCTTGTTGATCTGTTAAGTAAGTCAAGTAAGTTTAGAAAACTGTGATGCTGTTGCAATTTTTGCTGCCATCTTGGCTAAACTTCGAGGAAAACACATTTTTAATGTCAATAATGTTTTTTACCTAAATGAAATACAAAAGGCACTTTGCCAAAAACTGATTGCAGTGATAGGAATGTTCTTTGTGAGAGATATGACTGACACATTTTTGACAGACTTTAGGGTGAAGTCATTTATAACAGCTTAAATTCCCGCAATCACTTTTTCCACAACACTGGAACCATTTCAAAAGTCGCGTATTGAGTTAGAACCCGAATTCTGAACCCTGCTGATGTAACTCTGAGGCTCTGGCCTCACCATCATCGCCATCACCGTACTTCCCAAAGTGTCAGAAATGGCTTTGTAGCCCTTGGATGACTGATTGTTTCTCATCCTTTTCTTTAGATGTGTTGCTTTTTCTTTTTAGCCTACTTCACTTTGGCAGTGATTTCTTGATGCAACATACCTGGCAAAACTGAACTGAGCTTTCAGTTAAATCAGTTAATTAAATAAATAAGTGCATTTAATCAGTTAATCAGTTTTAAAAAAAACAAAAAGCATTTCTTTATCTAGAAGGGTAAGCATTTTCCCCATGTATGGCCAGGTATGTTTGGATAAAATTTGTCTACTTTTACAAACCAATTAATCATTTTAAAATCTGCACTTTGCATTTTCTTGAATCATCCTTGGATATTAAAATTTTGACAATCTGAAGTATTCGTGTGACAAACATGCAATGATGCAATGCAAATAAGAACCACAAAGAAGGCAAATACTTCTTTCACAACAGTGAATTCGCTTCTGTTCTTAACTTCAGATCATCTGTAGCAAATATTTAAATCTTTATTCAGCTGGCATGTGACTTTGAGACACAGACACATAAAGACTCGGCTCTAATTATAGAATCTGACCCAGTCGGAAAACTGGAGCACTTCTGGGCTTCTTGTCCAAAGCAGAGCTGGGACTAAGCAATTTGATAAATTCAACACATAATTATGATAACAATACGACATCAGCTACAGACACGCTGGTGCGGACAGTAAATATTTTATTTTACACAACGCATCAGATCCATCTGTGGAAGGTGATCAGAGTCCACAAATGCATATAATGCAGATTTATATGCATTTTAGAAAGAAAACGATGTACTAAGGGGAAAAAAACCCAAAACCCAGCAACCAAAGAAAATCATGAAACAACTCGAGCAGTTACAAAAGTGTTACCAGGTTACACACACACGTCAAGATGAGGGGAAAAAACAAAAACAAACAAGCATCAAACTTGTTTTTACATCAAACACCTCAAAGCATTTAAAACCAAGAAAGAAACAGTTAATAATAACAAAAAGGCACGTTACAAGGTTTGCTGCAGGAAGTGTACTAATTGGAGAAAAATGCACTGAAAGAGTTTCACCTGAATACAGAGAAGAGGCTCTGTGGGAACGATCCACTTTATGTCCCGTGGAAAATTGTAACAAGTGGGCTGTTAGTACTTCTGTCACTCTGCCTTTAAATGGCAAGCAGCTGGCAGGAACAAATCATGTCTGGCACAAACAGACGACAAATATAACTTTGTATAGTGACATGAATGCAGCGAGACACAGAAACACAGCTGTATTCCCAGCTGTCAACATCTGTAGATCACATGCTGCCATCTTGCCCTTCCCATAACCCCTGTAACAACTGTTACTAAAATACAGAAGTATCGGCACAAATTTATCAAAAGCGAGATTCACCTTTTTAATCGCTACGCTAAGCACACGACACAAAGAACATCATTGTTCTGTTCCCTTCTTAAAATGCTGCACTTTTAATAACATCCCTGGATCCCAGACAGAACACAGCCTGAAAGCTCTAACTTGATGTTGTGAGCCATCAGAGACGCCCATTCGGTCATTTCACAGCGTTTTCTCATCACTCTGTCTTGCTTTGCAGTCTGTTTCTGGTGCTCTCAGCACTTCCCCGATAAAGAAAGAACAACAGACGCGAAATCTTCCAGCTGGGCCAAAGACTTCTCATTTAACGTTTGTTCTAGTTACATCGCATTTGATCCAAAAGTTCAAAGCCTCTGGTAAATAACTTGTCTCACGTTGTTTACTCAGTGCCAGTTAGTGTCTTCTTAAGCTGTGTTTTGGACAGTGTCTGGACAGTTAAAAGGAATATTTGTCTAACTTTTCTTTGCCGTTTTACTCGAGCTTCTTGGGCTGGATGGCCTGTGTATGTGAGGAGAGCCAAACCTCAAGCTTGAAATGATTTGAAGCTTGTTGTCTGGAGGTCTGAGTTGTCGTTTGCTTTCCCCCCTTTCTTTACACTTTTACCACCTTTATCCAAAAGCACATTTACTGATAATACTTGAACTTGAGCAGATCTTTGAATGCAGGACTCTTACTTGCACTACTATGAGCAGTGTTTTGTAAGTATCAACAAGCCTTAGCAGAGCGTGGCTAAGCACCAGCAAGATAAGTGAAGAAAAAGCCCACACGCTAGCAAACAAACTAAAAACAGCATTTTAAAAAAATAAAACGTGACAATCATTTTAAAATGCGGCTTTGATGCCCAAAGCTTCCCTAAAACTCGCCCACATATAAAGCGATGTGCTTTGTGGCCGAACAGTCGGTTCTCTCTCCGGTTTTAAAAATTAAACTAAATTGTTAATTACTGATTCAGGCTTATGTACTGCTTTTATCTGGAGAGCGAGTGACCAGGTTTACAGAGACTAGACTTTCACTGGAAACCATCACTCCCAGCTGATAAACCAACCTTTGCTGTGTCCACTGACTTTAACAAAGCCCAACATGCACAGTAACCTCCAACATAATGCTGTAATGAATGGTGTCAGTGCGCTCTTCACTTTTAGTGAGATTAAGGGCGTCTTAATGCTTTCCGCTGATTATCAGGGACATTCGTCTCACTTTCTCTGCCTCCAAATATTTCCTCCTCGAGCGATGACATCTGCCCCCATTTTTTCCCAACATAAATACATATTTTGCTGATCACAGATTTTCATATTCTGACAGAAAACTTTAAAAAGTTGAATTATTAAAGTTCAGAATACAAGAACGTTTGTGTGTTTAGTGCTGATGCACAAGAGGCTTCCGAACGGATGAGGTACGGGAGCGTCGTGGCTTATCTTTTGTCACCGAGTAGGAGGTTTTAAAAAAAGAACAACAACAGTAGTTATGTTAATCTGTTGGCCTTTGAAAGACTGCTGTAAATGTTTGTTTTGTCTAAAGACCACAGAAGACAAAAGATCTGTATCTCTGAAACAAGCTCTCTGTTGTTTGGCTCTGACTTTCCTTCGCTTTTGTTTTTACTGGAGCTTCTTGGGCTGTGGCTGGCCTGTGCCTTTGGATGACAAGGAGGTTTTGGGATCAGCTGAGAGAAGAGCCATGATGTCCTGCATAGCCTTACTTATCTGAACTCCAAACCTGTGAGAGTCCTGGGAAGGAAAAAAAGAAAAAGTAAGTATTGAGAAGTGAAAGGGAAGTGTAGAAAGCAGACAAACGTGTTACTGGGTACATAAATAAAACCACAGAGAAGGAAGAAAGAACATGGACAGAAGTGAGAAGTCAACCCCTCTTTAGAATGAAGAAGGGATATTTAGCAAGTTTCAAAATAAAAAGAACAAAATATTTATAGACACTGATCTCATACATTAATTTCAATTTCATTTCAAGGGTCCTTGGGTCCCAGCATTCATGTGGCCCCTTCTTAAAAATCACTAAACCCATTTATACAGTCTTGCCACCAAAACACACATTAAAAGCTCGGGGAAAAGGACACAACGTGTGAGGCATCCGAATGTCCCGAATTCCAGTCTGACTGCACAATGAGTGCGTTCTGCAAAACCAGAGGCTCATCTGAGGAACATTTCGGCCAGGGACCGGACTGACTAACAAAAAGTATGTCATGTGAAGGCCACATGATGAAAAACTGAATAGGCCTTAAACAGTGCACATTAGTCTCAACTCCATGAACTGGAGGGCATAACAGACTGCTTTCAAACAGGACCGAGTTCTCGTTCCAAAACCCAAGTACTGTCAGAAAATGCTTACATTTTTCTTGCATAAAGTGAATCAGACGAATCTCAACATTCTCAGAAAAAACAGGAACAAATGTTGTCATTGCTTTTTCCTGTCAGAGGTTGTGTTTTCAGGTTGTCTTGTCTTTCTGTCTGAGAAGACTCAGTCCAGACATTATGTCCTTTAATCAAAAAGACTGATTTCCCGATAAGCCCAGGGAAATCAAGGTTTCTCACTGTATCCTCAACCGGCCCTACCGTCACGTTTGCGTCATGTAAACTGAGTATTTTAGGGATCCAAACATTTAATACTATTTAATTCTGTTTTATCAAGATTGTGCGCTTATTGTGAAAACTCCCGCAATAAGTTACCACTGTGAGGCTCGGTTCATCGTCGTGTTTTTGCCCTATTCGAAAAATGTTGATGCTTTTTTAAAATTTTTTTACTACCAGCAAAACAGAAATATTGTTGATATTTTTTTGACTTTTCAAGGGAAACTTCCCAGGGTTTTATTCTTTTGTGAGTTGGGATTCATTTAAGCTTAGATACAAGCCTAAGATACATTTTTTCTGTTCCCAAAACCCTCAAAATTTGAAGGTTTCTTAATTTCAGGTAACCCATTTTGAGCCAGAACTAACATTTAGGTCTGATACGAGTTGCGCCTGTGCTGTGCAAAGGAACCAAGTTGTCTACACTGATGATAAATTACAAAAAAAAATAAAAAATACAGCAACTTAGTGTATATGGAGCTAAATTGATGTCCTCAGTTTGCAGACTGTTCCCCTTTTCTCATCATCAGACGCATACTTCACTGGAAATCCGATGCGGTTTTCCTCTGAAAAGGCCTTTCATCTTCTAGACTTTTTTTTTTGTTGCTGACGACGCCATCAAAGCTTGCTGCACACTTGGAATCAACCCACAGTCACATTAAGTGCGGAAAGATTTGGTATTGAGGCGCAGAATTGCGAGGATCACCAGGTAAAAATCAAATGGCTGTTTTTGGCATTTCTTCTGAAATTTAAAAAAAAAAAAAAAAGATTTTAGATGAATGTGTGTTGACTATGAAGAGCTGATGATTAAAAAGGAAGTGAAAATGAGCGAAAGCGTACATTCTTCCCTTCGTGGAACAATGGCCATACCCTGTATACATGACATCATAGCCTGTCTTATGAAATGATTCTGTGAAAATTCAGTGACAACTGTCATTTAAAACCACAAACCCCAAACATTGAAAAATCCTCCACCGTTTGTGGTCATGCTGATGTGTGATGTTAACCTTAGTCAAAGTGTTTGTTTACTGTGTAAATACAAGGATGAGAGGTGCACAAGTGTCAAGCTGGCTTCAAGCATGACATTTCAACGATTTAAAGGATTGGAAGTCTGAAGGAGGCCATGTTTGTAAAAGTTGGATTCGGTTTTGGCACCATTTAGAGCAGCGGTCCCCAACCCCCGGGCCACGGACCGGCCCGTCAGTTGTTTGGCACCGGGCCGCTAGAGTTGAGGCTCGGGTGTGAAATTTATGGTTTTCATCATTAACTCAGTTTCCCTGGGTCTTTTCCTGTGTTGTAGTTTTTATTTTGAAATATTTATGCGTTACCATGGCGACCAGAAGAGCATCAAAGGGCAGACAGGAGGACGTTACTCTCACTGTTGTTGGCGCATTTCATTTTATTAGCAGCTTGACAGTGCTAATAAAGTTACTCAATCACACAGTTTTGGTCTTGGTCATATAATTTTATTTTGTTGTATCTGCGACACCTTAAAGGCCAGGCCATGAAAATATTGTCTGACATTAAACCGGTCCGTGGTGCAAAAAAGGTTGGGCACCGCTGACTTTGTGAGAACCAACTTCTAACTTGTACTGTAGGGACTTATCCAAAGGTCCATCTGAGCCAAGGAAAACTCCTAAAAACTAGTCAGCATAAAACCAACACTTTAGGATTGACAGAGCCAAGATAAACCTGGCTTTTTGGGTCAGTATGCTGGGTTCACACAGTAAAACATCTTGTTTACAAATGTGTTACATGGGGTGGGACTACAGCTCAGGAGGTAGAGCAGGTCATCTACTGACTGGAAGGTTGGATCCAAGGGAGGAAATACTTCCAATTTAGTGAAGCACCTAACAGGCCAACACCCAGATCTATTCAAAAAATTCAAGTTAAGCATGTTTCAGTTCAGAGTATGTTGTCCTGAAATGCAGATCTCCATTGGGTTTGAGAAAGCTGACACTGCCATTGAGAAGTCAACAAAAATTTCTGCAACGGCTAACACCAAATGCTAATGCTATGCTACCATAAAAGCACTATAACACCAACAGGATACCATGGCAACCATCTTAACATTTCAGCTTGTGTCTTGTCATCAAAGCATGTTGTCAACATTTTAAATAAATGAGCAGCCACCATGTCAATGTTTTAAAACGACTTAAACTTAAAGTTTAAATATGTTGTTATCAAGAATTCTACTGGTATTGGACACTGGAATACCAGTACTACAATTCTGGGATTTGCGATCTTCTCTTTCCAAGACTGTGCCAAGTTTAAAAGGCTTGAGAATATTGTCTGGTGTAAATGTCATTTCCTACAACAGTGTGTGATGTCTCTGAACTCCAAGACACGGAGATGTTACTTACAGTCTGACTGCAGGAGTATTTGGAAGACACGTGGAAGTTGACCATATCTTCACCCACGATGATGTATGAAACTCCATAACCATCGTCAGCGACCTGACATGACAGTGAAGACACGAGGTTTCGCGTTAACGCCTCACATACCACCCACCACAAATACATTATCTAGTCTCCTTGTCTTAAAAGATGTAAATGAGCCCACTCACAGGTCCAAAGCCCCCACCAAGCGAGATGAAATCTGGGTGGTTCTTCAGGTCGAACAGATTCATCTGCTGAACTGGAGTCTGACTGGTGGAGAGACGCCAAGGCTCAGACAGAACCTTTAATGAGGGATTGAGTGAGAAAAACATGGGGTGACCAGCTAGAAGACACCAAATTACACAAAACCTAATTATGATCTTTTGAGTGTCGCTGTGGTTAGCTCTGTTGCTGCAGAGCACGAAGGTCCTGAGTTCAATTCCACCATCAGGCCGGGGCCTTTCTGTGTGAGTGCTGAAGATATGCGTAGCCTATTTGAGAGTTTAGAAATGTGCTGGAAGGTAGAATTATTGTAGAGACGCTGCCCTCGATGTAATAAAGGCCTGAGTGTGTCACGAATTTAGGAGTAGATTTCTAGGAGCCCCCCCCCCCAGTTTGAACTGAGAGTGAGACAAAGAGAAGTGAATGTTGAGTGGAAATTCCCAGGGGATACCTGGGTGGGAGTCTCAGTGTTTGCAGTTTGTTAACTCTGTTTTGTATGTGCTTTAAAGGAATTTGGTGGGTGAGGACATTACTTTTATGACCCCCAGGAAGTCACAGACATAGACACACACATCCACACTCACGTGTGCACACACATACACACAGGTACGCGCATACATTCACTCACGTGCACTCACATAGACATACGGGTACGCGCACACACAGGCACTCACATGCTCGTGCACATAGACAGTGTTACGACCCGGCTCAAAAGCCGCAACATAAAAAAGGAGATGAATACCAGAGTGTTAGTGAGAAGAGGCTTTATCTTAAAATGGCATAGCAGGTTGGCTCAAATGGCTGGTACCACCGAGGCAAAGACTAGTGAGCTCTCTGGGAAGCTTGCCTCAGGTGTGCTTTTATCCACACCTGACTAGGTGTGGTCAATTAGCACCAGCTGAACACACTGAGCAGATTAGAGGCGGCAGAGGGACGTAACAACAGACACAGTTTGCAGCACACCGTGGGGGTTTTATGATGGGGTCGCTCCTACAAAACGGTGTTTCACAGACAAAGGAGTGAAGATTTTGCAGAGGGACGGCCTGGCAAGTCTTCCCTTCTAGAAGATTGCATGCTTAAATGAAGATGAATAAAGATGAATAAAGTTTTTGTGAAAATGGCCGGACTCAGTAGTCATTTTCACAAAAACTTTCTGGATGCCCGAGGAATAAAAGAACTGGGGTGAATGGTTGTCTGTCGCTATGTGTTAGCCCTGCAAAATGTCCAGGGTGTACCCTGCCCCTCACCCTGTGGTAGCTGGAATAGGCTGCAGCCTGGATGGAAGGACAGCTTTGCATTCTTGACTGATTATATACATCGACTCTTTATTGGATCAATATGGATTGCACAAAGGGAGCCAATAGTCATGTATTCATAATATGTTAGATATGCATCTTTAAAGCAGCTGATCAATGACACACTCCATTTTGTTGTTGCGCTCTTAATTGTTTTATGGTTTGTATTAATAAAACTGAGACAGTGTTAAATTTCTACATTTATGATATGAGCTCTCCAATCCATCAATAAGACTGTAGGGTCACCGGAAATCCTTTTTCTCTTTACTCAAAGCATGCTGTGTGCAGTATAACTGGAAACTAGAGCCTGAGGACATAACGTCATCAGGACAGTGTTCTGCTCTGAAAGCTACATCCACACTTGGGCGTATATGGGAGCGTTCACTGGCTTTCACTTTCTTCTGTCCACCTGACATCAGAGTCTTTGGTGTTTGTGTCTTGTTGCAAGTTTGTTTTGTCCAACAAGGATGCTGCTAAAGAAGTGCACGTCCATTTAAATCAATGCAATCTGTTTACATATGAAGACAGTCACGACTTTTCAAAGAGCTGAAACTCATTCGCGTTGGTCCCGTTTAACCTGTTTGGACTTTTAAACCAAACAGTGTATGAATATCAGTACATCTAAATGTAGCCATCCTCTGGAAACGAGCCAAGGCTTACTTCTTTGAGGAAAGGCGACTCCACTCCCAAGTATTTGGAGACTACGTAAAGGCAGAAGAGATGTCTGTCGATTCCTGCTCCAGTCATAGCCATCCGATAAAGGTTCTGGTGCCTCTCAGAAGCCAGTTGGAAAAGGCGTCTGCATTCCTCCTCTGTCTGTCAAAGCAAACAAACTTCTGTCACGACCAGTCCTGTCTGTACTTAGTAGCACTTATGAACTTACTGCTGCTGTGCTATGTGGGTGGATGTGTGCACATGTTGCTCCTGCTGGACGATTTAACACATAATTACCAACAGTTTGATCCACACAGCTTACCAGCTGGATTTCTGTAGACCCACTCCAAGTGTTAAAAGGTGTGTGTGTGTGTGTGTGTGTGTGTGTGTGTGTGTGTGTGTGTGTAATTGCTGGTGAATACAGTGTAGTGCCCTGCAGCGTGTGTTCTACATACACTGCAGGGCACATTAACTTTCATGTTCACTGCTGCATGCAGAGAGGCGCTATGAACGGTATCCTTTCTGCCATTACCCAACTTGTTGACCTTAGGCCTACGGCTGAGGAACTTGAGCAATATTCCAATGTAGTTCTCACTGGTTCACTCAGCTAAGTTTGGACAGGCACCTTGAACACTGGCACTCTGCATTCGTTTTTATTTTTTCAACTTTAAGCTTAAAAAAATGAATAACAAGTATTTTAGTACTTCGGTACCTCTCCACTCTCCAGAGCTGTGATGAAAGCACAGCTCTCGTTGGAGCAGGAGCGCACAGTCTCTGTCCGGCCCTCCCTGAACAGACGGGTCATCGATGCCTCGTAAGTCAGACAAAAGCCACCGCGATCCTGGAAGCAGAAAAGTGAAAGCAGGTGGGGAGAAGTGGTTTTGAAGCACTAAAAGCCAAACTGGACATGCTAGCTGATATGTGTGTGCGCTACAGATCTGTTCTGAATGGAGGGTTTTTCCACTTTGATAATACAAAAAGAATATTGTGTTTCAATTGAAGAGTGAAAAAAGGGGGCAAAGCTTCCTTTGAAGGCTGGGAGATAACTACTCCAGGGATCAGGAAAGTCAATTTTGATGAAAGTCTACTATTATAAAGAAAATGGTTATTAAGGAGTTACACAGGACTTAAGGAATGAAAAAATCTCCACCTGATAAGCAGATTCACTAACACCATCAACACAAATATCCATCCTTAATGACAGGTCGTCTCATGGGAACACAGGAAGATTGAAAAGTTGCACAGACTGAATACAGGCCTGCAGTTGTGTTTTCTTGGCTTGGAAAGCCAGAGATTAACAAAACAATTCATATACAGGGTGTGTCGAAAAGAATAATCTGATTTCAGAAGGCAAGATATTTTAAACTATGTTTTGTAGGGAGCTGTCTGCTCAGTATGTTATTTGTACAAGCTGTGATGTTGTTGTGTTGGTATATTACTGATAAACAACTGTATTTGTGGAGTTTCTAAATCCAAACGGTGTGCAGGATGCCCACCGTCCTTATTTCTTTTTGGTTGATGTTTTTGTTTAATGTTTTACTCCAGTACTGCTACCGGGACTGAATGAATACATCAGTTGTCTTGCGATAGTATTTAAAGGAACAAAATGTCTGTGTGTGCTCGCCACTTCTTTATTTAACTTGACTCTAATCCAGTAGGACTGTTAAAGATTCAGCTGCAGGCTCGGTTTGGAAACTGAGAAGTCTTTCACTGTGTGTTACCCTGTAGTATGCCAGTTGTAAGCTGATCTGGATGAAGGCGTCTGGGCTGACTCGGCATTTCTTGATTCGTCCTTTGCCAAACTCTCTGAATGGAAACACGTGACAGTCGACATCATCTGCCAGCGCCTGTGCAACAGCTAGAGAGCTGCTGACCTGAGCCTGAACCTGAAACACAGAGAATCACACTGCAAAATTTGCATTGCGTGACAAGATTTTGAGTGAAAGTCAAAAAGCCCCAGATGTTGTCGTGCAAATCAGTTTACAGCTGCCATACAAGGCAACACCCTTTAAAAGAACGCACACATTTGAGCAAAAACCCAGTACAGTCTGGTTTCTTACCAATTCTGTATAGAAAAACTTTTCTCTAGATTACAGTGGTGAAAAGACAACAGCAGATAAAGGTGGAAGCAGTTTTGTGTTTTGTCCATTTCTAGTGAAAGCTAAAGACTCAAGGAGTGAGCAGAGGTCAAACAGAGCCTGTATCCATAACTGTACAAAATGAACAATTTCAAAATTGTTAAGATATTATGAGATGTGTCTGAAAGTTCTCAGTCATCCCGGTCATCGTAGACTTCTGTTTGAAAGAGGCACTTACTCTCTTTCCTCCACTTCTGCCAATGTGCACAAACCTGGACTTCCTTTTATGAGGCCACATATAACATCTGTTATTCCAAAATGTGGGCCTGTTGAAATCGGTGCTGATTTTTTTTCAGTGGTTTACCAAAAATTAATACAATACAGTCACAGAAAGAAAAATAACAGTACTTTGTCAGTTTCAGCCTTGTTTAAGATTAGTATGACAGATTGAGATGTACAGTGATATCTGCAGAGTCTTTGACATCAGTTGGTCCAATGCTAACTTCCATCTTTGTACCTTTTCTTCTGTAGATGAATTACAAGACAAAGCAACGCCTACTTGACTCCACAGTGTGCCGAGGTCACTCCACTGTAGCTACAGTCCTATTGCTGTCCTCACCGGATGAATTTATATTCCTATTCAGGTGGAACGTGGGTACCAGCTCACAGTGTGAGATGCTCGAGAATATACTCCGGTGTCCCGTTATATTATAGATAGCAAGGAGTTTATTAAACTTCACCGAAACAATCTGCAAACTTCATTATTTTTAGTTAGCACATACACTTAAAGCTGTAAGCTAATGATAGTTATATAAGAGCAGATGCTGCTGGTGCAATAAGCTGTACGTTTTACGTCCAATGGATGATGATCTGATTAGTCGACTAATCGCAAATATAATCGGTGACTAGTCGACTATCAAAATAATGGTTTGTGGCAGCCCTACTGCCCACACCTACAAACAGTCAGACTCCAACCTCCACCATGGCCAAGACCAGAGAGCTGTCTAAGGACACCAGGGACAAGATTGTACACCTGCACAAGCCTATCTCAAACAGGCAGGAGTTTGGTGAGAAGAGATCGACTGTTGGAGCAATTATTAGAAAATGGAATAAAAACAAGACCACTGACAATCTATTTAAAACAATATCAATACCCATTATCTATGACATACTCCTACATGTTTGTGTAACCCATGTAAACATCTGTCATGCCCTTATCTGCTTTACTTCCTGAAAGAAAAAAAGAAAACAAAATGACTCAACAGAATACAGCACTGTCTCCTTAAAAGGAAATACTGCCAGGAGAGAGAGTCACTCTGGCAGAAGTTTCTGTTCCAAGTGCTTCTTGTTGATTTTAATGATGTTGAGGCCAGAAGTTGGAGGACCAAGTGAATGTTGGAAAGAATAAGCAGCAGCCTTTACGCTTCTTTCAGAAACCAAGTCTTTCCTCTTTTTACTGACTGTATGTGTTAAGACAAGGTCACTTTTATATAGAAGCAATTTTTAAAAAAAACAAGAAAAACCATGGCTAAGTACACAGGCCACTTAGAGCTTTTCAGAGTGCTTCACTTTAAAAGGTTCATTAACAAACACACGACACACACTCATCTGTGGACGCACAGACATAAACGTTTCCGATATTTCGGTTTACAAGGTTACAAGACTCAGCTCACAGCTAGGGCTTTGCCATATCATACCGTTCACGGTAATACGGTGTAATGTTGGGCAACGATAAGAAAATGAAATATCGCGATAGAACATGGGTAAAACACGCATGTGCAGTGCCTTTGTTTTCATACACACATGGCGGAAAAAGCATTTCGGCGACGGAGAATGAGAAGGGCGAAAGCGGATCGTTGAATGAAACCAGAACTGGTTTGTAAAAATGCTGCAACTTCAGTGGTGTGGAACTGGTTCAGCTTTCGTCCATCAGATACACAACAAAGCACTATTTTTGGTAGCGCATGCTAGCGGGCTGTCGTTATTACCGTGTTGTTTGGAAAATACAGCACACTTAAAATCAACCCTTTGATTTTTCTGAAAGTCGACAGAGCCCCTTATAATCCCGTGTGCCTTATGTATGAACTCTGGTTGTTTACTGACCTCGAAACGATTTTATGTGCACGGCGCTCGAAAATCTGTCAAATGTTTCAGTACGACTTTGCTAAGCTACGAAGCCGCACCGCTTGATGGATTGTCGGAGCGTTACAGTGATACGTACTGTGCTTCAACATAATGTTACCGTATTGTGTGTGTATAAGCTCTTTTTAAGTTTTGTGGATATTATACATGGTTATGCTGAGGATATGTCGGCCAGTTTCCACTGGAAATGCCTTTTGGTTAAACTGTCAGCGAGGAATTTGCACTGTTACGTTTTTATATAACTTTAATGCAGATAAAACAGCTGCTTGTTTAAGTGAAAATACACTGATGGGTTTTTTTGCACTAATAAAGTTGTGGAGTTGTAAAGTATTTTGTCTAGTATCAATTATGTCGTCAGTCATATCGTTATCGCAAATTTTCAAATGTATATGGTGATAAATATTTTTGGTCATATCGCCCTGCTCTACTCACTACGCAGATATGTCTGTGCATGGAAAGAGTACACTTGAGTGGGTAATCAACCTCGCATCCACACAGGCAAGATCACGGAAAATCAATTTCCAATGTGCAATTCAAACATGGCAAACAAACAGCTGGTGTATACTCTAATTGACAGTTAAGACTGAATACTCATTTGTATTACTTGTAATACTTACTTCTCTAGGAATCAATAACCAGGATATAACCAGGACAAGCAGGATGCACATGCACACACACGTGCGCACACACACACGTGCGCACACACACACGTGCGCACACACACACGTGCGCACACACACACGTGCGCACACACACACACGTGCGCACACACACACACAGGATTTCATTTTATCACTGAATACATTTCAGGATTGATGAGACAGGCTACCAGTTTGGATGACAGCCTCACCACAGTGCTGCTGTTTGAGCTCCAGTTCTGCTCATTTCTAGTGGAAACCATCCAACAAACCCATATGGAAAAGATATTTATAAATCTTATAAAGTTTGTATCTGTCTTGTGTGAAACTTGTATGAAAAGCATATAAGTGTGAAAACATATATAAGCTCCCTTGAAAAATTATATAATGAAACTTGTATGTTTTGGATACTTCCTAAAACAATGTATGAAAGTAATGCGAAAGTGGCCACTTTCATGAGTAATCACATATAAGTTTTTACTATTTCTTTTCTGTATGGGAACCAACATTAGCTGACACTAAAAACAAAAATTAAACAAATAAAATAAAAATGTGAGCATAAGTACAGAGTCCTGTTGCCTGCGCCAACAACAATTTAATGACACAGTTGTGGACTATTTAAACTGTCTGAATGAAATGCATTCAAAACACAGTGGCTTGGACCTTCCAAGCCACAGCGAGATGCAGAGTTAGCCAAGACCCAAAGCACAAACATATGTACACACTCATGCAAAAAGAGAGATTTGACACGACTGAGGTTGAACGATTTGGAGAAGAGAGAGAAGGAAAAAAAGGAGACTAAAGGAGATTAAAAACACTCCTCCACTCCTTACAGATGCTAGCCCACTGAGTCAGTGATAACACAAACCGAATCCAAAACTGGGGAGATCGAAACTGTAGGAGCGGGGGATATTCCAGTGACTTAATACAAGAAAATAACAACATGAAAACACCGAATTCTGTCATCATTTGTTGGATCTTTCATGGAAAGACTGCGTTATCAAGAAAGCATGCTCCCTGTCCTCTGTACTTTCACCCAGCACATGAAATGTCCCACCAGAGACAAAACTTTGGACTTATGGTATACCCTGTAATTAAGTAATCTGCCGTGTTCAGTTGAGTTCTCACCCTACTGACTTGGATATTGTGGGAATGTTTAGCTTATTTTAGAGTTTAGGAAAGTGTTAGAAGGATATAGAATTAGTGTAAAGACACTGACGCTGCCCTGGATGTAAAAAAAGGCCTGAGTGTGTCATAAGCTTAGGAGTAGATTTCTCGGAGACCCTGCCCCAGTTGAACTGTGAAAGTGAGACAAAGAGAGGTTAATGTTGAGTGGAAATTCCTCAGGGCATGCCTGGGTGGGAGTCTCAAAGTTTGTAACTAAATAACTTTGGTTTGGAAGGGAGATGGACTTTTATGACCCTCAGGAAGGCGCGTACATAGAGATATACGCACATAGTGCTTTAACTGTTACGCCCACACATCCACACGCACACTCACCTGCACTCACATACACACAGGTACGCGCATACACTCACTCACGTGCTCGTGCACATAGACACAGACACAGTTTGCAGCACACCGTGGGGGTTTTATGATAGGGTCGCTCCTACAAAACTGTGTCACAGACAAAGGAGTGATTTTGATTTTGCAGAGGGACGGCCTGGCAAGTCTTCCCTTCTAGAAGATGCATTGTTAGAGTGAATTGTTAAATGTTTGTCATTTTTATGTTTACCATTTGTACATCGTTTTAAGGAATTCTTTCTGTCCTCCCCTCCCCAGATTCTTAAGATTCTGGGATGGGGGGCGGTAGTGTTTTTTTAATCACAGGAGCATCCTTGTGAAGGTCTGTTTGATGTTGGTAAACTTCCTCCCCTTTGTATGGCTTCACTGTGTTATCTAGGGTGAACCATCTAGGGTGTGGGGGAGACTACCCCCTTTATGACCAAGGATGT